ACGCACAGAGCCCTTCCCTTTGGAAAAAGCCTATAACCCTAACAGTTTTGGAGTGACAGAAACCAATGAATCTCGATTGGCTCCGGCCGGCTTTTGCATTCAATCCCATGTATTGAACAGTTGCCTGTATGCTGGGGTTATTCAGTCCGATTTGTGATTTTTGCGTACTAATGTCCAGAGCCTCGTTTTAAGGATCGACGAACTCAAAGCGCTAGTTTCAGAACGAAAACTCCATGTAATTGCCATAACTGAAACGCGGCTCAAAGTCGAAATCGAGATGCCGAGATTTCGATACAGGGTTATCAGCTCTTTCGTAGAGAGCGTCAAAATATACAGGGCGATGGGTTAGTCGTATATGTATGGACGGGAATTTCGGCAGCTGAACGAGCCCACACCCTCTTCCTTCAATATGAAACCGCCTGGTTAATGATAAGGAAGTGTAACGCACAAAACCCAGAATTCTTGACGGCTTATAAAACAAGAAACCTTCCGAGTTCAGCTTATGAGTCGCACCTCCATTTGGTCAAGGAATTATCTAACCACAAATAGGGTCTTATTCGTGGGGATTTCAACGCAGCTGCAATAAAGTGGGAAAGTGTGTTAGTTGATGGTGCGCCAAGTTCCCTCGGCCCCCTTTGACGCAACATATAAAGACACCAACGAGATTTGGCGAGAACTGGATAACCAACTGCTTGTTCTCGTGAAAGCATTCTCTAATATTGACGAAGTGTATCTCAGTGCACCTCTCGGCAAAAGTGACCATACTACGGCACCGCGGGATTACTCGCTCCTCTCTCAACCTCAGAAGGGAACAGGCGTCCAACCTATTATAACGTAGACAGATTTTAACACAATTAAGAAGAAAGTGATGTCCATGGACTGGGACCGTTTGCTCAAGGGGAATCCGGAGGACGACTGGAGATCGTTTAAGGCGATTTAATTCGGTCTAATTTGGCGCTGTTGCTTAATGAATCTATAAAAATAATCAGTCGAACTGCCATGTTAATGAGGGACATGAATAATCAGTTAAGAAATAACAGTAAACGACGGAAGGTATTCTGGGAAACTTGGTTACCAGTGAACCTCGGGGAGTTTCGTCGTCAACGAAATGCAGTGACGAAATGCATCCATCAGGCACGGAAGCAAAATGGATACAGAATTATCCAACAGACTGAACAAAAGCCAAGGGTTTCATTTAACTATATTGAGGGCCGACTGAATAATAACGGCCCGGTCGCAGTAATAAGGGATTTTATAGGTGTAGACATCGTTGAAAACAGCGAGAGAACCGAACACATTTGACAGCACTTTGCCTAAGTTTTCACAAGGCTAACAGAGTTTCGCAGTTGCAATGTCGAAAATGCTGTTTAGACCGCTGTTCCTGTGCTTTAGTCTATACCCTCTTCGCCATCTACGTAGAAAGAGAGCTACAAAATCTCAATGCTGAAAAGTAGTCGGGTTCGGACAATATAATAATAATGATAATTGTATTTAAGGTCAGTTTGCAGGCATTGTCAGGGCAGCGTTAAACAGAAATCCGGCCGGCAGTGAAAAAAACTCCTGTCAAAAAGGAATAAAAATAAAGTTGATGATGGTTCTTATGGTTTGGAGGTTTCAGGAGAAAAAAAACTGTTGACCACAAAATGCCGACAGTCAAGAGTGAGGGGTTGCACTTTATCGGATATTATCAGTCGCCAATTCTTTTCGTGAAGTTGGAGTTGGTCAGAACAGAAGCGCCGAAGAACAGCTGTCGCTGTTGCTAAAGAAATTGCCCCTGGTGAGACCGACCATAGAGATCAGAGACCACGAACGCCTTCGCTACAGTATAGTCGATCAGTGGATTGAGCACCCAAAATTTGTGTATTTTTCTGAATGCAAAAATCGGCAAATAGTTCTCTTAAATACATGATAATTTTGCAGAGATTTCGCATTTCTGAGTAGTTTATTCCAAATAGAAATTGCATTTACAAAAAAGAACCGACTAGATCTAACGGTACATGCTAGAGGAAGAAATAAAAGACCTCACGGTGACTGTTAGGTCGGGGGGTGGACAAAATGTCTTAAAGTAGTAAGTGGGTTAATGGCACGATTATATAAAAGCTAAAGTAGCTAATGATGAGAAGCAGAGCTCACCCCATGTAACTCGTCCCCATTTTGTCCTACCATTATGGACTTGTTTGAACTATTTCAGCCCAGAATATTTTTCTGTATACCACACACCTTTTACGTTGCAAATAGGGTACTCAAGGGCTTACACCTATTGCCCTCAATAAACTGAACTGAATAGAGCTTGACAAGTGAGAAACCCAGCTCAATTTACCCCTCCCTCGTTGACGGGTTTCGGGTCTGCGTCGGACCCGTATTTCACTGTGACCAGTGTCGCGTCCGCCCTAGCTGACCGCGTAGATAATTAGCGTCTCTAATTACTTCGCGTCGTCACTGCCTCCTGTCAAGGTGGATTGTAAAACTTAAAAGGGACAAATAAACTAATTAAGCGGAGGACATCCGAGCTTCTATGCATAATAATAATAATTTTTATTAAAGTCCCGTCGGGGTCCCATCAGACTTGAGATTGGTGACCGAGGCGATGATTACATGTTAGGGTGGGTGGAAAGACGCCTGGATGTCCACCGACAGCTCAGTCAACAGAAAAACAAGTAAACTCGTCCCCAATTTGATTTTAAGTATTTTCTTCGCACGAGACACTAATGGCGTGAGACCATTCGAGCCGCCAATTATCTTCGCAGCCAACGAGGGGAGAGGGGCCAAACTAGTCGCATTTAAATGTGAATCCGTCGGTCAATTAGGGCCATGTGCATTGAACTGTGTGCATGGCTTTCCACTGTTTGAGGACGAGCAGACGAATTCACAACTCTGAACACCAGAGCCGCATCTTGCCTGCCCGAAGGAGGCCCCCTTTTGGCAGGCCACCTAGGCGTTGTATTTCCCACGCTATTATCATTATAAATTACTTTAATGACAACAACATTACGTATGAATGCCACAATTATTTTTTTGCAGGAACCGCCAATAACCAGTGGAAATGGTCCAGAGTCCATTTAATGTCCACTGAAGAACTACACCCTTACCTGTATTTTTCGTACCGATTTCTCTCCTTTGAAAGTGCTCAGTAAACCGCCGTTTCTAATCCTCGTCTGTCCACTTTCCTATGTCATGTTATAGAGTGGACGCAAACTAGGTAGTACGGTTGTGCACTTACGCGGGGTGTTCGTCGCTGACTTGCTTTACCCGAGGCTGGGAGGATTCAATGACACATGTAATGGTACTGCGATACCCAATAGTTTAGAATCAGCGCAATCGCGGGTACAAAACCGAGGCCATAAAAATGTGGGGGAACGGACGAAGAAAGAAGAGCGCCGCCACGCATTTTTTTCTCGGATGGTGTGGTTAAATCTGGCTGTCGTGTTGAATGCCGCACATTAGCCACGCCAGAGAGCAACGTCTAGCTTCCTCAAACTCCTCTCTAGCCACGCTGGTAAGGCGCGACCAACCGAAGCCGGTGCTGACAGGGCTCTTAGATAATACCTGTTTTATATTTAAGCATCAGGGGACACTATCTGGGTGAACTTATAGCTGAGTCAACTGGCAAAATAAGCCAGGGTGGACAGCAACAGTCTACGTGAGCAACCAGATGCACACTAGGATCCAGAAATTGTGCCATATGAAGAAGGCAGCGTTTTAATGACAGCCGGCGATTTTTCTGTTCATAAGCAATACTTTTAATAATAATAATAAGTAGTAGTAGTAGTAGTAGTAGTAGTGGTAGTAGTAGCAGTAGTAGTAGTATTAGTATTAGTAGTAGTAGTAGTAGTAGTAGTAGTAGTAGTAGTAGTAGTAGTAGTAGTAGTGGTAGTTGTAGTAGTAGGGGTAATAAAAATGTCACTGATCCCAAGTAGGAAGGTTTAGGCAAAACATGATGAGCTAAGAACGCAACGGTGAAAAAACACATTCAAATAAAAAATAGAGTCAGTTCGGCAAAATACCCTTTTCAAAAGGATATTCAAGAGAAAAAGTGTCTCGCGAATAGCTATAGAGGAAGGAGTAGATTTTTCTCGAGAGTTGGAAGAAAGTATAAACTATAAAATAAGTGAGAACGAAGCGTCATTGCAGTGCGATTGAAGATGCTAAGTGGCGACTGACTCAGAGTAAATCCGACAATGTAGGGTGAGGTCCCCCATTCCGGTAGTCAGAACGGAACCCGGATGAATGTTAACGGCGAGTGAAACGGGGCGGTTTAGAGCGCGCGCGTCAATATGGCCTTGATGATTTCTCTGGGAGGTTGGTTGGGGAAGGCGTCGAGTGTTATTAAGGACACAATGCGTATGCTGGCAAGAGTCGAAATTCCTGACGACGGATCATGGAACGCGTAGCCATTCGGGGAGAGAGAAAAAGGTTGTCTGGTAGAGGCGTCCTGAATGACCATTACTACTTTATCAAAGTCGAAGATAAACTGCCCAGGAAGGATGAGGAAGATAAAATGCTAAGCGAGTTAATGTTAGGATAATGGCGCAGTCTTCTCAGTAGTTCATACTGACTATTTGACGATCTGTTATCTATTGGCAGGTTATTCCATAAAGAAGTCAATTCTACTAACTGTGCGAACCGATCACGGACGTCAGTGTCGCTTACATTCCAAAAAGTGGCCTTGTTCTCGGGTAAATGTACGAGTTCGACTAACAGTTTTGTCGCAACATAGTACGTGGAACAAGTTTTCCGACGTCCCCGCATGTGTTCATTTGTTAAATACCCAAGGGATACCTCGGTCTTATATAGGAGATAAAACTGCCCACAATAATACAGACAAACAGCGGAATGGGGCATAATTATCTAAAAGTCTACAGTTTGCTTGCCATGTCATCATGACTGGAGGTATACAAACTCTTGATTTTGTATACATCACTATTTTGGTGCGCACTTTAAATAGTCGAGGCGGCCCGAGTTCGTACTTTCCCGGTGGGCTTCGCGTAGACAAAGTTAGGATGGGAAAGGTAGGGCGTGCCAGTCGTTAATACCCGCGTAAAATTGTCATTTTTATATTATCTCTGTTTTTAATACTATTTTTGCATTTGTGTGGACTTTGTACGAATGTGCATTGGAAATTTCCAAAGGTCTTTTTTGTAATGGAGTCTGGTCAAGTGCAAAAACAATTTTTTTATCATTCTGAGCTTTAGGACTTATGCAAGCTACAATTATAGGGGGTACTCGTCAATCAACCACACAAGTCTGGAGGCGTGTGTAGGGCTCTCTGCCTGCGCCAGATCGATACATTGATTGACTGAGTCCCCATCCGTGACCTAGGCTTCAATCCATTCTTAACTTGACTTACCTCTGACGTGGCGACTATCTTGAGGGCTACGAAATTAAACCCGTGACCCGTTGCGTAGGTGTGGGTGACCACTTACGGTAGTTCGTCGTCCCGTCGTACAGCCAGTTTATGCTCATGTATGCGCGATCGTGAACTGCGTGAAATCTCAGCCAGCCAGCGTGTGGACACTTTCTTGGCATAGAAGTGCCGAGCTTGATGATCACAGACCTGCTGCCGGCATTCTCTGTTGAATATTTCGATGGCTTTGTTAGGTATGCTTCCGACAGCGACTTTAAAAGTGGGAGAAGCGCCTGCTCAGTTCAAAGACTATGCAGAAAGGAACGTTGCGTGTTGCATGTTCATGCAGCACGGGGTGTCTGTTCATCTGAAATCTCAATTTTGGATCGACAAATATACAAAACTGAGGTCTCATAACTGGGTTTTTTAAGGCATAAGGTCACAAAAGCCACACACCAGTAGGCTACGGTTTAAGCTAGTAGAAACATGCCACAAATCAGGAGGGACGATTTTAGTGCACATATTGCACCTCTCTGCGCAGAATTTGCGCATTGGTCTTGCTTCAGCCTGTCCGGCGCATCAACGAATGACGGCATTTGAATACCCAACGAAAGTTAGCTGCGAAGCAGATGTAAACAGTCACAGACCAACAGCCGAACTGCCACCGAAGTGTGGTCGGCTAGAGGATGTCATGCAGACTGCTTTATAAAGTGTCCTGAAACCAAACGGCGCCACTGACATGTTGGCCATTATTACGTTAGTCTGCCTGCCACTGCTGCCTTGTGGCCAAAACCATCCAGGCAACCTGGATGTCTGTCATGAACCGGTCTGTACACAAAATTCCCAGAAAATGTTACGAAAATATCCGATTCTGGTATTACTGTCCATGATGCGTGCCCTCAGAAACCTACGAGCTGTGTAAGTCTTTTGTATTGGCTCAGTCGTGTAGTATGCATGCTGTTTTGTCTAATTACACCACTAAACAGACTCTTGCAAGGGTCCTACGCAATTTCGTGTTGAATTTGAACGTGGGCGGTAGTCGACTGACCTCAGCTACATTCGATAGCGCCCTCCTAACGTCCATCTATGATGTTCGACGTAGTGTGCTGCCATTGGTGAATGAAGCTGTTAAATCAGTCGGTTTGTCCATAAACGCCGAGAAAGCCGGTGTTTTCGAGCTGCGGAAGGTATTGTTCGGGTTTAACGTCTATCAGCTCGAAGAAGTGAGCAGTTTCAAACACGCAAGCCACTCTTACCGCCAAGTGACATCGCCTCCCAGATGGATGCTGCTCGTGGGGTCTTCACTATCCTTAGAAAATTTATATGGACCTTATGCAAAATTTAATCGCCATAAAGATCTGTACGTACCGGGCCGTTCGTCCGGCCTCGTATGCGATTGTGAATGTCGGCTATGCGTGTTTTCTGAGAACTACTCGTCAAGTGAAGTACACTGACTTTGTTTTGAATAACTCGGCCCATACTTGCTGCGAACATACCACAGGGATATCTCACGCCGCCTAAAAAAGAGAACTGAAGTGATTTTGGCATCTTCATCGTGCGCCCCACCAGTCCAATGTTACTATTTTTGATCCTTCATCACTGCTTACTTTGAGGCGTCGGAGGGATAATCTCGAAATCTGGTTGAATGCAGTCTGTCGAGGCATGGAAGTGTCTCCTCGACGTTCGGTACTTAGGTCACTTTGAGCTTCCAACAGCTGACTCGTGTTTGAGCGTGACAATTTTAGATCAGACGCGAGAACATGCCCCATCAAAGGATCTCGTTTAAGTTTTGGAATTGATTGATAGATGCAGCCCTGCATGAGTGCGTGGAAATCCGAATTTCTCACCAGTGACATCGGGTTAGCAGGCATATTTTGTGCATATTTTGTCTTACTGCACCGCGGATACTACGCACCAAGTTGGTCCCCAGACGGCCAAACTTGCTCGTTTAACTTTCAACTTACATTCAATTGCAGAGGCTGAATTGGCCGCCTAGGCAATAACCCTCAGACCTTCTACAGACGTTTACTTTGCTGGATTTTATAGACAGTATGGATTATTCACATGCTCATGTTTCGAGGGTACCCCTAAAAGTTACTTAAGCCCCGAGTTAGTACAATAGTTTGGTGGTCTAGTTTTTCGCGGCGCCATATTCGCCTAGAAATTATCTGAGGGCTTCGCCTTGGCACCCATATGCAGATTATTTGAAAAGCGTCTTGGCTGTCTGTGGGGTTTGGTGCAACTAACTACGTTTGTCATGTAATACCATTGAGGTCTGATCGGCGCGCAATCACGTATGGCATGTGACTGCTTATTCGTCAGATTTCGAAGTCGACTTATCCAGAAGCTGACTTTCATTTAAGACCGCCGCGGTAAACGCACAGTCGCTAAAACACGGACCACTACTGTGTTGCAAAAGGTTATCGATTTCGGCAGTTTGTGACCATGAACCCTACATCTAACTTAATGTACATCATGGTATACAGTTTGTAAATTGCTTATATTCCCAGCTACCTGCATTTTACCTCATTCATCAGAAAAGTCTTTACCTTTTTGCTTTCATCCCCTCCTTCATTTACGATACTTAAAGGTATTCTACCCAGTCAGCTGTTTTCTCTGTAGGCTATGCGGAAGGACAAAGTGTCTCCCGCCCACAAACACATCAACGTGCTGTATCAGCAGGCTCGTTCCTGTCTAGTACCACCGGTCGACAGTGAAGATGCCGGCCTCCAAGGGCGTATCCTCATCTGTCGCAGTTTTGTTCGGCAACTCCTCTGTCTCGCCAAGAAGTCGCGTGTTCGACTTTCACCGGTGATGCGTAGATCCATCTGCCGCAGTTGTTTCGTCATCCTCGAGCCCAGCGTGACCTGTCGGTTGCGTTTCCGCAAACGGCGTCTCATAACGAGATGCGAGGCTTGCGGTGCCGTTTCTCACCTTCCTGTCCCATCAGGTGTTTGGCAACCCTGTTACTTCGAGGAGGTTCTTGTCGATTCCCGGTTCCCTCCCGAGGGCGAATCTTTGCCTCCTCCCCCTCCCTCTTCTCCTCCTCATCCACCACCGGTCATATAAACGCACCCATCTTTCTATTACCTCCACTGCAGATTCACCTGAATCATTACACCCTATTTCCTTTCCTGAAAATCCATTGTGCCTAAACTGCATCAGCCGTCATGCAGCCGAGCTTTGCAATACAGTGCTTCGCATAAACGATGGTGGTCGTTCTTCGTCCCCTTCGACACCCTCTCGCCTTCTTGCTCACTTCATGCCTTTTTCTGTTGTCGACTCGAGGCCTTCCAAAAACTCGGCGGGATATTTCTTCCTGGCCTGCGTGTTTCGGCAAGGCGATGGAATTCGTCAGCATGCAGTTTTGATCCGAAGCATCTGAAAGTCTTAGCCTGCCCACTGAGCAAAAAGCCGCTGAAGTAAGTTGTTGTCGCTGCTGCTGATACATCTGCGGATTCAGTCTATACCGGCAGCGAACATAACCTTACAGGGTAATATTGTGACTTCTGGGTCCACAACTGTCGTATCACCTGTATAAATGCTATCCCGAAAAACACTGCTGTATAAGTGTGTACTTTTTATTACTACGGAAATTTATTCACTCTTACTCTATAAGCAATTACGCCTCCTGGTTTGAGACGTTCGGCACAAGTGCACCAAACGGCCTCTTTGTAGGTCCAGAAAAGTTGGGAAACCAAGATACCTCCTATCCTCGTGCGAAAAGTTCCTATAAGTCAGGTTTAAGGAGGACTTATTTATTTATTATTTGCAAAATATGCGGTTAGTTTTATACGGGTATCGGAAAATTACACATTGCAAACGTCTTAGAAGATGTAAAGAGCTGCGTTTTGAGCATTTCCTCTACAAGATTTTTTCGATTTTCAACATGCATGGAAAATAAGTGGGAAAAATACACACTGCTTAAGCAGTGACTTTTATCGTAGTCAGGTTTACACTGTTGGCTGGGAAGATGCACCTTTCAAATCTAACATGTCGCCTCATTGAAAACATCTGGAATCTTTCCTACTAAGCTTTGCGATGCCACCACTATCAACACCACTGTAGTTTTTTTAAAATTCGGAAGTGTATTGAAAATTTTCCGCATACTGTATCTACCGGTCGTGGCCTTTGAAAGCAGGGATCATACCCGTCTTGGGAAGAAATTAAGTCTTCCGAGGTTTCCATTCATAATTCAAATCGCTGCTGATCTCGATATAAGCTTAACGGTGACTGCGGGTGATAGCTATAGTGGCTGTTGGTCACGAGATCAGTCGAGAATCGCAGACAAGTTACCATCTAGTCGAGGTCCATCGGTGGTTGTCGCGGTGTTCCACGTGATTGACGGCGGTGGTAATGGCGATTATCAATCCTAAGGCTTCTTCATGCTATCCATAATACACAACTGGTTTTGGCTTGTCGCTATTTCTTGTCGTATTCCTGGCCAAAATATTTGAGCATCTTCTACCACAGTTAGCGGCAGAATTCACTCTCTCGCGCCTATTTCCCAGTCCAGTGGGATACCCTTTAGTTATGCGTAAACGGAAAGAGTATGTGGTACTGGCTGACTTCTCTTTTATACGGTGGTAATAATACCTGATCTAGCCGGCCTCAGTGATGTGCCTTGTGCCATAACTTATTACGGGGACCTGATTGGTTCAGATCATTTCCCAGCACCGCGCGCACAGAAATCTTTGTCGTCGCCGGTGAGGCGTCGGGCTTAGAAGACCAACGATTATATCGTGGAGCAGCGATGAAGATCATGTCTGAGTCACTTAGACTGTCATTGGATGGGCCGAACTATCCTTGCAATGTTGAAGCGGGTGCGGATTGTGCTATTCGAGGTGAAGTCGAGTTAATGCACTCGCAAAACAGTTCTCAGACAACGGCTACTGAGATAAGCTCAGCGTTCATAACCGTAGGGGTGTCTAGTACTGCTGGCAACATTGACCATGCCACAATGTCACATTCACTCTGGTTCCGTGTGACAGTTATTTGGGCCGTCTTCCTCACCAAACTGTCGGCCGTTAGTCAAGAGATGTACCCTTTGGCCAGAAATGAGATTTATAAGTGCTTCGTAGACTAACCAACTGGTTTGGCTGTGTAGCACACCGGAAGCCACATTCTTCGGATCTTCGGTGTTTGATGCTAGTGCGACTATGTCGGCGTAGTCGAAGCCAGTCAGCTGGTGTCCACATGTGCATCATCCAGCACTCTTCTAAAAATCCATTAAGTGATATCTTCACTAACACTACCAGTTTACAACGTTACAAATGGGAGGGTTCCGGTCTCTGCCGGTATCAATCTGACTTTCCGGGTGTTGGTTTTTGTCAGTTAGTCGTGTTGTAGGGCGTTTAGTGCCCACACGACCAATGGGTCTTCTAGCATATCTGCGATAACAAATGAGACGAATGGGCAGCTGTGGGTCATGTACTGTTGAAAATGCAATTCTGTGGATGGAAGTTGGCCGATCAAGCCAAAAAAGTCAAAATGTGACTTATTTTATCTGCCGTTAAGAAGGAAGTCCTCACCCACCATCACTGACTGTAACAAATGAAAGCACTACATAAGTCAGTCGATCTGGCCACTTGCGGAAGACTTGTCGGATGCTGTGAGCGCCCCAATTTTCGGTTTTGGGGTGGTTTTTCGACTGCGGGAGGTTGGGGTGCAGGGAGCCGGCCAGATCCGCTGTCGCCGACCACCGCTCGGGAGGGAAGCCTATAGTGCGCCACCTGAGCTGGATATACTGGTCAGAATTGCAGCAGCAGCAGGTCTAACTGCCATCGTCTTCCCACGACCTGAGTCGTGCGTGTGGAGGACGAGCGAAAACTGGAGGTATTTGACCATCACTGCTTGAGGACCATCCTTCGAGTGAAGTTCGCCGACTTCGTTTAAAATGAGACAGTCCACGCTCGCTGCGACAAAATCGCAAGGATGACTCAGGCCATCCAAGAAACCTAGCTCGACACAGTTCGTCAAGACATGGAGGTGTTTCTTGGACCTTCGGTATTCGGTCTACGTCGTTGGCGATGGGTATGGGTTGAGCTGTCCAGATCTGCTGCTGCGGATCGTTACGCGTGGGGAGGTGAAGTTTGGGACATCATCGAGGCCGGCTAGATCGGGCATGATCGCAGCCGTATCAAGTACAAGTACAATCTGATTCATTTGCTGACGTTGCGTCTGCGTTGAACAAATGCATGCCTCTTCTGTTTCGTACCATCCCCGCTTTTTTTCTACCTAGGTTCGACGAATCCCAGCAGAAACTGGTGAACGAGGAACTGAACGTCGCTTACAGTATCATCGATGGCATACCGTGTCTCATTCCCGAGGAGGGCGAAATTCGTTCGTGAGCAGGGCTATGCAGGATCACCACATCATTTTCGAATAACTTGTGTTTTCTACTGTATAAAAAAATAATTAGGTCTTAACAACGCCACTTCTGCTTTCTTCTCAATTTCCTTAATTGACGTTTTGCACATCGCTCATTAGCGCCATTATGCGGTCATTGATTCCGGCATTGTGCCACGACCGTCTCCTGGGGAGTTGTTTGCCTGTTGGTTGGGCCAAATAAGAGGTAGCGTTCTCATACACTAAGTGCCTCGAACCGTTTGCTGATCGCCGGCTCGACAACACACACGAATGGCTGCTCGCAGCGGACAAATCGAAGCCAAGCCTGACGCGTCCAGCGTGCTCCATCCTGAATGGCGGCACGGCGTACATCCTCTTAATTTGCGGTTTAACGACAAGCAATATGGGCATATAACAGTTTGACCGTCGCAATCGACGATGTCCATCGTGTGCCTCACAGCAAGGTGAAGCAGGCACAGTGACTTTCGCATGAATTAGTGAAAGTCAACTTGCGCGGCATCCATTCCACTCTTCTCCCCCACCGGGACCCGGTGTCAAGGCAGAGTCAAGAAGACCTGAGACGGGGGGGGGGGACGCGGCCGGACCTGCACCTGGGCGTGCCACCACACCCCCTGGTCCCCAACAAACACTTGACCAGGATTTTAACCAACAACAACATCACCACGAAGGGTGAGAAAGGCGAGGAGGACTGGGAAACCGTGCACACGACCTGTATACCCAGCGGGAACGTAACGGCATCTTCCAACAGGGAACCAGGTGTCAGAGAACTGCCAACGCACACCAGGCTGCGAGAGTCATGGTTTGCTGATCCTGACAAAGCGGAAACTCACATAAATTTAGGCCCAGAGAGGTGAAACGCAACCCTGCGCTTAGCTTGGGCCATTGCCCCTCAAAGGCCGAGTAACCGGTCAGTCATAGATTGAGAGGCACTACCTGCCAAGAACGTGAACATATAGTGGTGCTTCAACAGTCGTGAACTGCAGCATCGAATTCTTCAGCGCGAATTATTTGGGATGGTGAACTGCGCCGTATCTGCCTCCGCATTTCCTCCCAAACCCACAGTGCTCCGATAGTGAGACCAAATCAACACCAGCGGCGTGCATATGTGCAAAAACAAACGAAGCTAGGTAGCATGTCTACGAGTGGCACGCACGATCCAGACCAAACTCACATGTTCCAGACCACACCAAATGGCACATTTTTCGCAACCTCCCCCACTCCAGCGTGGCCCCCTCACTGACAGCGTAGAGTGCTCGATTTTTAAAATTATCCAGTGGCCAATCGGTCAGGAGGGAGGACCGATCCGTTTGTCCGGAAGCTGGCTCGTTACAGGGCAGACACTGTCACGTGCAACGAGACCCACCTCTCGGAACAAAGGTAGTTGAGTGGGGTTATTACAAGCTCCATCTGGTGTGACCCTTACAGAGATGAGCGGCTGTTAAGTACCCGGAGGAGGGGCATTATTGATGCCTTCACCATCAAAAAGTACGATAAGGATGAAGTACATGACCGGGGTAGGGTTACTATGGAGAGATGCCTATTTAAAACATGAGCAGCTCGCTAAGAGTGCAACAGGCCAGACGCAGACAGCTGTTTCACGGTCGTTACCGATCATCAGTACGTCATAAGTCTTATGAAGTGAGGTATATAAGCATGTCAAGCAAGCGAGCTGCTCATGTATTATATGTGGTATATGTCCTCTGACACAGCGTTCGTTGTCGCCAGTAGCAAGCTGGCGGTCGGACAGAATGGGATCGAGTGAGATCCTAACCACAACAGTGAGGGTCAAACGCCCACTTGAGATGCCTATTATATTTTTCTACAGTAGATGTGCTAACTCATGAAGTGTTGACAGAAATTCTGAAATGCGTTTTCGACCCCAAAAGGTTACCTAAGTAGGGTTGTAATATTGATCAACGTGCAGCACAATCCCTCGATAATTATGTTGCTTCAGAATGCCGGCTTTTGAATGGACTTCATTCCCTTCGCCTGTAAAAGCTACATTGTAAAAATTACTACTTAAGTGGCATACATTTTCCTCATCGATTTTCGGCGACCCTTTGTAAATGCAAGCATATTTCATGGAAAACGCGCATAAAAATATTCATTATTCTGCACATTCGGTGGAAAATTACGTTTTATTCAAATTTTATGCTTGAAGAAAGGGCATAATTCGGTTTTTAGAAAAACTTTTTAATTCCCGAATGATTTTGAAGCCGACCTGCCTTTGCACTTGTATTCAGGGTTTCCAAACTACAAGCTGCATATTTTACGTGCGCGGAAAATCAGATATTTCTATACGCTATTAAAAAGAGGCCATATGGAGTTGATACAATTTTACCGTGGGCTTGAACCATATTGTGTACCTTAGAATCAGCACTTGTAAATGCAGAGACACGATGTTTTATGAACGGCCATTTCACGATCTTAAAAACCATATAATTAGAAACGTTGTAAAAGGCGAATTATACCCTTCCTTTAGGTAGAAAACTAGAGGAGGCGTAATTTTCTGCCAAATGAGTAAAAGAATGAATGTTTTTACGCATGTTTTCTATGAAATATGGTTGAATTTATACGTCCATCAAAAATTGGTGGGAGCAATTCATGCTACTTAAGTAGTCGTTTTTTACGTGGTGTGGTTTTTGCAGGCGACCGGAAGGAGATTTGTTCACAAGCCGGCATCCTGAAGTAACTGAATTACCATGGGCTTATGCTGCACGGCGAGTCGAAAATGTATTTCAGAAATTTGGTTAACATCTTATTCAGTTAGCACATCGGCTAGATCGCAGTTGGTATCCAGGAATGGGGAAGCGAACGGCGACCTTAACCCTAACCTCAAACTTGATCGGTAACCGTTAACCTTAACGGCAACCCTAGCCCTAAACCTAACCGAATTCGTAAACGGCACCGTAGCCCTTAGACATAGCAATAACTGGAAAATCTAACCATAATACTGGAACCTAATTGTACGCTCAAACCCAAACCCCAACCCGAAAATCAGAAACCATTAACCGGTACGTTAACGCTAACCTCAAATGCAAAACGGAAGCCGAATGGGTCAAATTTGATTATGGAACCCAAAAATAGCCCCAGCAAACAACCCACCTCCCCCCCAGCCACCTTTAATAGGGGGCCTGGCTACCGACTGCGATCTAGCCAGCACATCGACTGTATGTTGGCGTTATTCGGTAGACTTTTTGATCGGAGTCCAGTCACGCCCTTCGACGGCTCTAACCACGGCAGAATGACATTCTTTGAACTAAACTGCCTCGAGGAGGACACGATGCTGCAAGTGTCTGTATAGACTCATTGTTCTACACCCCCACCCGTAACTTTTCAGTAAAAGGCAACAGATTTGTCCGCAGTTGAGGGGATGCAAAGAAGCGGCCTCCTATGCATAGCCCCACTGCCAACATTGCCGTCGTTTCCGGATAACTCAACGGAGGACATTACGACATGACTTAATCCTTTGCGTCCACAATACAGCCCGCGTTATTCAGCCCAAATCAAAGGCAGTACGATATTACCTCCACGCCTGGGAGAGGACGCTCGGTTGTCACGGAGTAGACAACTTCAACAGGAATGGACTTTACCTACCCAATATCTGCTCACATTAGAGGCTCCTTTTCAGCAACACAATTTCCGCCCTCCCGATTATAAGAAAAACTCGGTCACGCTCCCGATCACGCCAGTGGCGGTTGTTGTAGTGCGTGCTTGTAAGAAGCGGAGCCTTCGTAACCCGCTCGTAATAAAATGCGAAGGCTGACTGTCGCCTACTCGTTTCGAGCCTTAAACTGAAATTCCAACTACGAGGGCAGTCAAAGGCACCATCAAAAGTGAACACTGTGCCACTCAAACTGACTGGACGCAGACGGGAAGTCCCTAATGAAATGAAATGTCTGGAACACACTAAAGCCGCGTAAGACGAAGACCTTGAGAAGAAGTGGCGGGATGCCATCTATTGCCACTGATGCCATTGTGTAACGCCAAACGACCCCGATAGGGTCGTTTGGCGCGCGTACTTAGGATGGTGATGGCGAAACTGCGTACTGGTGTAGATGGCCTGTGTCCCCTCCTCTCACTTCCGCCGACCCCCTTTCCCGCAACTTACCGTGATGCTCGAATTGCTATCTCTCTCTCTCTACGTCGACACCTCCCTCGGTCCTTCCCTGCAGTTGCCCACAGCGCTGCACCTCCCACCAGTTAATTAGCTGGCATGTCGGTATCGCCTCTCCATCCAGACAGGTAACTCCACTGTTGTAACTCGGACTGCTTGTACTATTAACTATTATTCTACGCATTTCCAATTCCAATCTCTGTCCATTATACCTTATCGCCTACTTGACCTTCCTTCTCCCGTACGTGCGGGTGAGTATCGCGACTTACAAACAACCCTATTCAGGTCAACGTTAACCAGGATCTCTTCCCAGTGCTTCGCTACTTTGGCGTGTGTGCTACCCTTGACGTCCTCGGTCGCTACAATTGGACCTGCACGCTGAACGCACTCAGACTGGTTTGCTGACGACAATAGGGAAATAAAGCGACTAACCTCTGAGAGAAGTCAACCTAGATGAGCAGAAAACACGTACAACGTTCACCAATCTGTCCTGCCTACGGGACAGGCAAGCAGTAGTTGAGAATTACTCCGGGCCAAAACAACACCCATGTGATTGCATCATCCTGACTTCAACCTACTCAGTGGCCAGATGATTGGTCCAGTGCACAAAGGGGTCAGATTCTAGCCCTAGACCTAAAGTATGACGTGTTGAAAACGGCAATGTACAGACTGAAGCCAGCCTTGAGAAAATTGGGGGACGTTTGTGCCGGAAAGGTTTTGGCACAATTAGGGATGGCGGCTCGAGCGCCGCAGTCGATGGAATCCGCCACCGCCCAAAGGGGGGCGCAGTGGCAACTTGCGCGCGAATGTTTTTACGGTGGAGTAGACTCCCTCGGCAGCCACCTGCCTTTACTCCTCCCATTC